ACGCAGGCTGCCGCGGCTATGCTGGCCGGAGCCCCGGCTCCTTCCAGACCCTGCCAGCTTCCCGTCAGTGCTTTGCAAGGGAGGGGGCAGGCCCGGGGCGGGGCTCACCCTGACATCCCCTGAAACCTTGCCCTCAACCCAGACTTGGGAATCTCAGTGTCCTTATCTTTATGTTCACTTCTGTTTGAAGTAATTGAAAACGACCAGCAGACCAGCACTCCAGCTCTGCCTCTGTGGCCGAGCCAGGCCCCCAGCCTGCGGCTCCCTAAAGCAGGAGTGGTGGGGCTGGGCTGAGTGTGCTGTGTTCTGTGTGTGGCCTGGGAGCACAGGGTGCATGACCCACACGGCAGCAGCCCTTCCCGGAACTGGACCTGACCGGGTTAGACTGACTCAGCAGGCAGGACAACCATGACTCAGCAAGTAGAAGAACCGTGACTCAGCAGGGCCCAGGCATGGGCCGGGCTCTATCCGGCCTGTTCCACATGCCCTGCTCTGAGGGGGACAGGCCATTATGTTACAAAGGTGGGGCAGGAGGCTGGGGTCCTGGGTGGTGGTGCCCAGGCCCTCCACACACGCAGCCTCTGCAGATGGGCCTTCAGCTGGGGCCAACATGCTCAGCCGTCTCCACAGCCTCAGTGTCCCTATGTGGGATGCAGCCCTGGGGAGAAAGGCCTGGCTTCAGTCCCGAGCGTCACTGCACAAATGAAACCCCAGGGGTTCTTCTACTTTATTATAGTCTGTACTCACCATTATCCCAAACTTCAAGTTTTAAAATAACACGTTTAAAATTTTTTGTTTCCTTTTGTCCTTTTTGAGAAAGGGTTTTTGCTACACATCTCAGGCTGGCCTTGAGCTCACTTTGTAGCCCAGGCTGGTCTTGAACTCAGCAATCCTGCCTCAATCTTCTGAGCGCTGGGATTACAGCCCTGTGCCACCCACGCCTGGCTCACATTTAAAAAATTTTGAGGGCCAGCAAGATAGCTCACTAGTTTAAAGCACCTGCTTAGGCAAGCTTAGGCAAACGCGCATGCACACGCGCTCCCTGGCACTTGCCTCACCAGCTCTACCCCCAGGTGGCTGAGCTGGCCAAAAAGGAACATTTTTTTGAGACAGGCTCTCACTATGCAGTTGAGGCTGTCCTTGAACTTAAAATGTTGCCTGGCCTGGTCTCAAACTCAGGAAGATCCTCCTGCCTCAACCTCCCAGGTACTGGGATTATAGGTAGGTGTATCACACTTATAGGTAGATACTCACCTGTAATCCCAGCACTTGGGAGGCTGAGGCAGGAGGATTGTAGTGAGTTGGAGACCAGGCTGGACTACAGAGTGAGCTCTAGGCCAGCCTGAACTGAGCAGTGAGACCCTGTCTCGCAAAGACTATTACAACTTTGTTTTTCACAAAATCTAGTTATGGAGGTAAGGCACAGGCTACTGCCCAACACTTGAATTTCTAGTCCCCAAACTAAGAAATGGCTCTGCTAACATTTCAATATGTCTCAGAGTTACAAGCTATTCTTCATTAACCCTTTCCTCACAAGCTCTGGGGCTGCAGGCCTCTTTTCCACCCTTTTTTAAAAAAAATTAATTATTTTTATTAATAGGACAGTTTCAATCAATACATTGGGGGGACAATCTGCTCGCCCCCCCTCCTGTCCCTCTCTCGGCCAGAAGCTTTCTTTCCCTCAATAAATATATTCTGCTCCTAAAAAAAAAATCAATACATTATTCATTGTTATCTTCTTAGAGGTTATCCATAGTATAAGATGCAGACAGGATTTCCTGTCCAAACACTATTAGTGCACCTCTTTCTTCTCATTGAATTAAGTGAAAGTAGCTGCATATCTATCCTATTTTGTATATAGAAATACAAAATGATCTTTCCTTTGTATCCCTCTTTTTTTTTGTTTAGTCCTGTCAGAGGTACACCCTTCTTTTTATTTTGCTTTATTATTTTTTAGTATACTTAGTGCAGGCTCTACAGGGTCTCACTGCACAGATCAGACTCGTAGTGATTCTCCTGTTTTCAGCCTCCTGAGTGCTGGGAGTACAGGTGCCACCGCGCCGTCTCATTTGCTGTCTCAGCGCATCCTGGGGGCAGGGCTGGCACAGCAGGCCTAGGATGAAGCAGGTTCCTGAGCCTGCCTAAGCAGTCTGGCCAGCCCTACTCTGCTGCTCCTGCTGCTGCTGCTTCTCCTCCTCTTCTTCTTCTTCTTTTGTATTTTAGGGAAGGGTCTACAGGGTGTTCAGGGTCTCACTGCTACATGGGACTCCTAGTGATCTGCCTGTTTGCAGCCTCCCAAAGAACTGGGATAGGGGCTGGGGAGATGGCTCAGTGGAATAAGCGTTTCCCTGGCAAGTGCAAGGGCCTAAATTCAATCCCCAGTTCCATAAAACAAACAAAACAAAACAAAGCAAAAACAAAGAACTGGGATTGCAGGTGGGTGCCACTCCTTCCCCCAACCTCAATAGCTGCCTCAGCTTGCCCTGGGGGTGGGCCAGCACACGGGTGGGGTGGGGCTGCTCCTGCTTGCAAGTGCTTTAATCTGCGGAGCTATTTGGCCGGCCCTAGCCCTACTCTTCTGTCTTTTTAGAGTAATTCTATTCAAATTACCAACAGCTCCTAGTAAACATCATTTTAGAAGTGCTGGGGGCCGGGATTTGAGACAGTCTTTCTGTTTAGTCCAGGCTGGCTTTAAACTTGCAGACTCTCCGGCTTCGGCCTCCCAGGGCTGGAATTACAGGATCTGGCACCACCTGTCTCCCATGTTTGTGGGCGTGGCCTTGCCCTGAGCACAGCTCCACACAGCGGCCAGCAAATGCAGCTGCTCGCCCCTTGCCGCCACCCATGCACCTGACAGCCTTTGCTCCCTGTACCGCGGGCCTGGACTGTGCCTGCCTGTTGGGGCTGCTGAGGGCTGCCGTGTCCAGCGGGGTGGGGTGCAGCTCCAGCCTGGGAGCACACACCTGGGACCCTCAGCGTTCTGGAGGGCAGTGTCTGTTACTCCTTTGTTGCTCTGCTGGCGTTCTGTGCTGCACCAGGACGAGGACTGTGGACAACTCCGTGACTACTGACCAGTGGCACTGCCTGGCCTGCACCCCTGACTGCACGGCTCCTGCACGCAGGCTACCCCTGCCTGTGGGGTTGGGCCCACCTCCTCCCAGCACCGTGGGGAGCTGAGGCCCTGGCCCAGCCACCCCCCCTGCCTGCACTCAGCTCTGTAGCGCTGCTGGGGCTGGCTGGGACAGGATGGACCTCGGTGACCTCATGGCTGCACCATACCCACCCAAACACCAGGATGCACTGCTCCTGGCCCCATGTGTGGAGGCGTGGCAGTTGGGAAGGTGGACTCTGGCTGGCAAGGGCCCCAGTGTCTGCACCACAGGCCGTTTCCTCTGCCACCAGAAGAGGGGACCACAAGCTCAGCTGCCACAAGCTGCAAGCTGGCCAGGGTGGTCATGTGGCCAGAACCCTCCCCTGGTCAAGGGCAGTGCTGGGGCAGTGCCGGGGCCTGGCCCTGTGGTAGCTTGGCTGCAGCCCTGGGCTCTGGGCTTCAGGCTTGTCCTCTGGAGTGTACAGCGGGCTGGTGTCAGCGTTAGCTAACGCTGTAACAGTGAGGCTACCCTAATTTGTTCCCAGCTGCAGGGTACAAGACCCAGAATGCTCCTGCGGCCCCCTAGCCCTATCCGTCTTGGTAGAGATGGAGTTTTTCTTGCGTTTTGTTCTTTTGTGGAGGGGAGGATGTGGCGGTCGAGGTGGACTGACCAGGACAGCAGAATTGAGGGGCTGAGGAAGCCAAGGTCCAGGGCAGGGGGGCTTGGCCCAAACTGGAGTGTGCTCCAGTCCCAGCCTGCACACCAGGAACCATGGTGGCTGCATGCTGCCCAGAGGGGTGTGGAGCCTCCAGCTCTGGGCTCACATTTGGCCTGTGCTTGGGGCAGGGAGAACTGCAAGTACACCCCCAGCCAGGCAGCAGCTGTGGGGACCCTCTCGCCCACTTTGCCACCGCTCGCCCATAACCCCAGGTAGTGTGCAGTCTCTGCACGCAATGGAGAGAAACTGGGGTCACAGGACACTCGGCGGGTTGTCTCCCTCCAGGGCCGGCCAGCACCACACAGGCACTGGGCAGTGATGGCCCTCACTTCCTCTTCCTGTCCCATGGGACGCCAAGCAGGGGCGCCAATGGGAGCCTGCAGAAGGGCGAACAGCAACTCAGGATCCAGTGTGTCTACGGGAGAAGGGAGCCCTCCAGAGGAACCCGCAGGCCGGGGAGCTCCCCGAACCCCACTACCCATCCAGCTCTGGAAAATAGAGCAGGATGCAGGGCTGCGGGAGCGCGGATCCACACTGCCCGGACCTGCGGCGCGCGCTGGCGCCACCTCGTGTTCGATGGGACACAGAGGCGCTGGGTGAGGGGCGCGAAGGTTCGCCTCACTGGGGGCTGCCTGGCCGCTGTCGCCCATGCCACCACAAGGATGCTAAGGCAAAGGCAAGCGCAGCCCTCTTCACAGGCGGGAAAACCGAGGCACAGCGAGGTCGGGTAGCCAGCCGGGAACACAGCGCGGGAGCCGCAGCCGTCACTCACTCCTGGGGGCAGCCTGAGCTCCAGGCGCCGCTCTACTTCCTCCTGTCCCACCTGCCCAGCAAGAGCCCAGCAGCGAGGGTTCAGTCCCGGCTCTCCCAGGTCGCTGTGAATAGCCAGCCAGGCACTCTGGCCTCAGTTTCCACATCCAGCTGCAGGTGGGGCTGCGAGGAGGAGTGGAGGAGCAAGGCCAAACTTGGGTGTGCTGGGCGGGGCCTGGGCGTGGGCGCGGCGAGGTGGGCGGCTCCCTCCCTGCGGCGGCCCTGGGGGCCTGTCCAGGTGGGCTGGGCGGGCCAGGCCTACAGGCCTTGGGGTGCAGCTGACACACAAGGCGCATACCCCAAGGCCAGAAGGCAGCACCCTCATCCGGCTGGGACACTGGCTTCCCTTCCTCCATTGCGGATGCGCAGCCCAAACACCGTTGGCTGACGGCTACCTTTATTTTGGGTATAAAAGGCACCTGTCCCTGTGTAAGAGGCTCTAACACCATGGGCGGGTGGACCCACCAGGAGAGGGGAGAGGCGGTGGCAGGCGCGGCCTGGCTGCTTCAGCTCCGTGCGCCGCTTCCGTACCTGGACACTAGCCCTTGGGACCCAGGCCCGCCCAGGGAAGGGAGGCCTCCTGCAGCCTCCAGTTCTCAACACAGCCATCGGGTCCCACAGGAGCGCTGGGCACACCCCAAACTCCCAGAGTAGCTGCCCAGAGCAGCCAAACCAGCTCACAGGGCAAACAGCTGGTCTTCTTCCCCCTGGGCCTTCTTGCTGGGTGCCATGCCTGCCGGGGGCCCAGCAGCCAGGGGGCCAGTGACAGTCGGCAACCGGTCGGCTGCTCTGGCCCGTTCTTCCAGGAACTTGTCAAACTCTGGGGAAGAGAGGGACGTGGGTGGGGGGCCAAGGCCAGGGAGGGCAGGTGGACAAGCAGGCCAGGTCACTACCTTCGCTGGTGACGCCTCCCGTGCGCTCCTCTGTGTTGTTCCCCTAGGGCGCAGAAGGAAGTGTCACTGGTCAGGGTGACGGGCTCATGAGGCTGACACTATGCAAGGCCGACCTGGCTGGCCCAACCTTGGCCCCTTGCTGAGCCACACGGCCCTTGACATCCTCCGGCCTCGGCTGATCCTTTACCACATGGAGGTTGCACCTCACTCATTGGGGTACTGGGCATGGGCCCAGGGAGGTTCGCATAGCTGTGGTGCCAGAGCTGGGCTGCGAGAGCCCCCACCTGATCCTGCCCTCCACCCTGAGGCCTGCAGTCAGTCTCCACGCACCCCCTGCCACCTCCTCCTGGACAGGAGAGGGCCCCAGGGGCAAGGTCTGTCTTCTGACAACACAGGTGGCCAGGGTATCTAAGTGGTGAGTAGCTCACTCAGAGTACTGTGCCCTGGCCAGGCTGGGTGGGGCCACCACCAGTGTGCAGCAGCCTCATAGCCACTCGTGCGGACAGGGATGGGCCCAACTTACCACGTCTGTGGACAGCCACTGCTCGACATCCTCCATGAGGCTGGCCTGGGTGGTGGGAATCTGGGGGAAGATGTGATAAGGCGAGGGGTCAGCAGCATTCTTCCACAGATGGCCCTGTGCTGCCAGGTATACAGGCCAGGCAGAAGGGATGGGGTTCTCGCAGCCTGGGTAGGACCTGTGGTCACCACGGAGCCAACAGGCTCCAGGCAAGGCCCAGAGTGTCTACTTAGGCTGCAGGATGAGGTGGCCCAAAAGACCAGGAGGGTGAGGCTCCCCATGGGACATGGCTGCTGCTAGGATGGCTGCCTCCCCGGCAGGGCTGGGCCTCCTTCTTGGTAGCTTCTGCACTGGTGCCTGATGCATGTGGTAAGGGCCAGCTGTGGAGAGAGCCCAAGGCCCCTGGAGACCACAGGTAGGTCCTTATCCAGGTGAACCAGAGCAAGGAAGGGCAGGGCGTGCTCCCCAGCCTAGGCAGGCAGTGCCTCCAGCAGCTGGGGGAGCAAGTGTGACCAGGTCCCTGGCCCCACACATGCATGTGCGTGCACCTGTGTGTCTCCCATGGCTTGCCAAGGGCGGGGTGGGGGCCAGGAGAGCTGGCTCTTGCCCCGTGTCACACCTGTATGCCGTGTGCCCTAGAAGTGCCCAGCTCTTTGAGCTGACCCAGCCTGGCTCAAGAGAAGCCATGGAAGTGCTCTACTGAGTGGTTGATCCCAGGTCTGACTTGAGTCCTGCCTTCCTTTGGGGGCCCAGAGGGAGTGGGGTACTCTGCTTACTGCTCCAGTGCTTTGCTGCCGGGCGTCCAGGGCCCCAGCCAGCCCGTCGGTTGCCTGTGGGGCTTCATATTTGACCCTGGAACACAAAGGCCATGGAGTGGTCAGGTACTGCACTGGCCATCCCTGTGGGCCACCCAGGGATGCGGGACAGAGGGTGGGTGAGGTCCTTAGTAGGCAGGCTGAGTCCAGGGCTCCTCTGGGAACTGGGCCTGGAACATGACGGTAGGACAGACACCAGCAAAGTCTGTGTGCATCTACGGAGGGCTTGTCCCAAACTGGGTATGAGACAGCCAACAGTTGTAACCAGACAGATCCAGGCAGGCAGAGGGATGCAGAGACACTCAGTGGCCGTGTCCTTGTGCAGATGGCTCTGGGGCCCTTGTTGCACCATCTTCAGCTGTCACAGTGGTGGTGCTGCTGCAGCTGCATCTGGGGGGGGGGGGCTACCATCATGGCCCCTCTGTAGGGAGGGCTGCAGGGTAGGAGGGCCTGGGCAGCCCTGGCTGCCAGCAGGAAGGGAAGGTGGTCCAGACTCAGGCAAGGGGGGGCATTCAGGAGTGATTGCCCTGCCTGTGGGGTACCTGGCTCAGGGCTGGAAGAGCCTTGTTCTTGCTCTGAATGGCCACAGAGGTGTGGAGAGGAAGGCTGGCATGGCCAGGAGGGGGGCCACTCAGTGCCTTCCTTGGGGTACACCACACGCCCCGGAGCAGCCAGGCAGAAGCAGGGTTGTCAACCCTCCCACGAACATGAAGACTGTCTCATTCCTGTCACTGGCTCCCAGCAGGGTGAGTGGCTCTGACCTTGAGAGCCGGGCCCCCTGCACGGTGAGGGCTGAGAGACTGAGGCTGAAGGGGGACAGCACGCCCCACCACGGGGGTCTGCATGCCATGTGGCTGCGCATGTGCGTGGCCGGGTGCACATGGGAAAGGCAGGGGGATGTGGGTCCACGAGACCCACTAGAACTTTCACTCCCTGATTCAGCAGAACCAGCATCTCTGGAACGGCTGTATCACCCCATACACAATCCTGGGGCCACCCTGGATTCAGCCACACCCAAGGTAGGGTGGGGAGAGGTGGGAGCGCTGCTTGGCAGGAGGGGTGGGAAGTATCAAGGTGGGCAGCCAGACCAGTGGCCAAGATGCCAATCTGCAGAGGAAGCCCTTCCCTTGCTGGCTCCTGCCCCTCAGGAGGACAACAGCCAGTCTGGGCCTCTGGCCCTTTGCTCTGAATGCAGGCAGCCCTGTCGGGCAGGCACTTCTCCCTCCACTCCCTGACCTCCATGCGGTGTCCAGCACAGTGTTCTACCAGGATGCTGTGTCCCACCCTCCCCATCAGACCGCATGCAGCTTGTGTCGCACATGGTCCAGGACGAGGGGCCCCCCACTGCACATTCTGGACGACTCAGGCTCAGCAGCACCCTGACTCGGCGCCGTCGGGTATGGAGGTGGGGTGTGGGGGTGGGTGTTACTGGTTCTCAAGCCCTGGCCTCATAGACTGTTCAGGGAGGGAAGGCAGCTCACTCCAGGCCTCAGCCCAGCGGGAGCGAGCACTCGGGCTTGCAGGCGTGGGCAGGCACCCAGCTCTGACAGTGTATCAGTGGCAAGTAGTGGGGCCACACAGGAGTGGTGAGGAGGACTCTCCATCTCTTTTGCAGCGTTCCTTGCTATAGGAAGCAGCTCTGGGGTCATCAGCAGGGCTCTTGGGCCCAGCACGGAAGGCCCCCACAGGGAGCCAATCATCCCTGAGGCACAGGGCATACCCGGGCAGGCACAAGGACACCCCTGAAGCAGGAGGGACTATGGACGGTGTCCTCCACAGCACTGTCCCTCGCTCTTGGATTTGTGTGGGCTAGACAGTGCGGTGGGGACAGGGCCTGGATACACCATGTTTTGGGATCAGATAGCCTCTGGCTGCCAACCTATAGCTTCTGGACACAAGCCACCTGCTTGGGGCAGTGACCAGGCCCGCCCGGGGAAGACAGCCTTCGTGTTGGCTCTCAGTCCTGATGGTCCTCTGCCTGCTGGAGGTGGTGGTGACGGTGGTCTGTCCTGACCCCGGGCTCTGGCATCACACATGCCTGGGAGGGGCCCATACCTAGCTTGGCCTGGAGACGCTGACAGACCCTCCCAGGATCAGCACTCCTCCCACAGGGGGCTGTGCAGACTGTGTACACTCACTCTTTCCTCTGGTCTGCCAGAGAGCTTCCCCGTGTCAGCGCAAACATGTCAAACTCGTCTTCTAGTTGTGCTGAAGCCTCCAGGGACTGCAATCCAGCCCGCACACTGCTGGAGCCCACATCTGCAAGGTCAGGATGGCCAGTGAGAGACCTCACCTGCTGTCCCCATGTCCCCTGCTGGGCCAGGGTTTGGTGCTGTAGGAGCTGCTTGAGGACGAGGCCGATGCGGAAGGGGACTGAGTCAGGGGCAGGAAGCAATTGGGTGGCATCTGCTGTAGCAGGCAGTGGCTGAGCAGCACAGTCATCAGATGTCAAGGAGTCGCAGCAAGCTGGGCGTGGTGGTGCATGCCTGCAATCCAAGAGCCCGGGGAGTCTGATGCAGGGGATCATAAATTCAAACTTGGTGTGGACAATGTAGCAACTTAGTGAAACCCTGCCTCAAAATTAAAGGCTGAGCATGTCAGTGCAAGCCCCTGTACTCCAAAGGGAAAAGTGAAGATACAGTGACTCAGTGGGATCTGAGTGATGTCCTAGGGCTTGGGTAACCATATGGCCAAGCCCAGTGATGTCCCGGGAATGCTGGGGTGGGAGAGGCCCAGTCCAGGAGTGACTTGGAGGCACAGTGAGAGAAGGCACTAGCTCAGGCCTGGCCAAATGCAGAATGCGGCCTGCAGGCACCTGCAGAGCAGCACAGTGCTGAGATCCCAGCGCTCGCTGGCAGCGCCCACCTGCACAAGGCTCCCCTGAACCCCATGGGCAAGGCTGCCGTCCTTACTCATTCCAGCCAGCTGGGACTCCAGGCTGCTGGCGGCTGTGGGGTCAGCGCCCATGCTGATCAGGTCAGCTGCAGGGTCCGGCTCCCTGGGGGCCTGGGATGGGTGGACACGGGCTTGCTTCTTCTTACAGCCCACTACTTCCTCCCTCCATCAGCATCTAGATGCCCTTGGGCACCAGGGCCCGGCACCCACTGGTGGCTGTGCCAGCTCCCTCACAGCACAGCCAGGCAGAGCCACATGTCCTTTACCTTGGTGGTCTGGCCTGTCCGGAACCGTTCAAACCTATTAAGACAGATAGGTTTTAGTCAGGGGCACACTGTGCCCAGCTTTTCAAGCCATGGTCTTGTGCACACATGGGTTCCTGCAATGGGGTGGGGAGCAGGGGACCCGGCACACCTGCGTGCCTCCGTCCTGTGACAGTGCCCCTCACTCCGAGGCAGGAGACGCTGCTGTGGACATGTGCAAGGCCAGCTCTGGCTCTGGGCAGGCGCTGAGGGTGCACATCCCCGTGGCCTGCCTAGGGTCCGAGAGGGAGGGGCAGGGCTTACCTCTCATGGCGCAGGAACACATTGTTGAGGTTATCGTTGACCATGAGCAGCTCCTCCGTTAGCTGCTCACTGGAGATGCATGGGATGAGCTCCAGGACCCGCTGCTGCATGGCGCGGCACGTCCGGTGCAGCTCCTGGGGGAGAGGCCATGAGACTTGGCCCCCAGGGCACCCCTTCAGTGGACTTCCAGGAGCTGGCTTGGGCCTCTACTACATGGGCCTGAATTTCACCTCGTAAGCATTCTACACTAATGTGAGCCCCGTGAACTAACTCTGAGGTGGGGAGTTGCTGTGTTGCCCCTACTGATGGCAAGTGCCTAGGCTCAAGTGGCCCTCCAGCTTCCGCCTCCAAGTGCAGGGATTACAGGCACCTGCCACCATGCCTGGCCACATCCTCAATTTAAAACAGGAAAACTCCAGCATGCTGACCGTGCTGTGGGCTCCACTGGCTGAGAGCAGCCCTCAGGTGGCTTCTCCGCCTCCGCCTACAAGGAGGCTGCCGAGCACTGCACTTGCCTCTTGGTGAACACAGAAGCAGCGAGGGCTCAAGCCTGGGCCCAGGTGTCCTCCTGAATAACTTCCCAGTTATTCTCAGCAGTGGACTTCTTTTTGGGATAGGGTCACGACATGAAGCCCAGGCTGGCCTCCCTCAAACTCACAGGGATAGTCCTGCCTCAGCCTCCTGTGTGGGATTACAGGTGTGGCCAACACACCAGCTCTCTGATGCATTTCCAAGTAAACCGTCCATTTTGGAATAATTTTACACCTACAGCAAAGCTGCAAAGGCAGCGCTGAGTTCTGAACCCTTCATCCAGTTTGATGTCTCAGAACTCAGATGGCAGCATCGGTGCCATCTCATTCCCTGGACCGACCCACGGGGGCTGCAGGGCTCGAGGCCTGCCTGCCTTGGTCATTATGCCACTGGCTGAGTGCGCGTCACTACGTGGCACAAGTAAGCCCACGTGGGAAGGGGCGTGCACACTGCAGCTCATGCGCCAGCGCGGAGACAGCTGCCCCTTCCTCAGGTGCTCACTGCGGGGGGCCAGCGCAGCCCGCTGCAGCTTGGCTCGGCAGGATCTGGGGCTCACCGCGCAGCTGCTGGGTGGCTCTCTGCAACCTACCTCTCTCCTCACGCGCATGCCCACAGGGGACTTGGGCTCACATTCCCACCAGCCCTACACTTATAACAGCAGCACCAGGAGCCAGAGTGGGGTCAAAACCCAGGACTGCTGCCACTCGTCACATGGCCCAGGCCTGTCCTATTTCCCCTGGAGCACAGTGTCCACAGAGCCAGCACACAGCGAGCCTGTAATGGTTGATAAACTGTTGACATACCTTAAACTTGTGAAGTTTAAGCAGTTCAGCAAGGAGTCGGGCCTCATTTCTAAATATCTAGAGACGGTGTGAGCGCTATACTCACCCTAGGGGTAGCCTACTTACAACAAAAGGAGGAAAAGGCTCGTCTGCAGCTGCACTCTTGTTGTATTTGCAGTCTTCTGCTGCCCTGAACTACTGTCCTTCAGCACACCACCCCGCCTTGGAGCCAGCTGATTACAGACTGAAATCTCCACACATGGTGAGTTAACTAAACCTTTCCTTTCTTAATTTTGGGTGTTGGGTATTTTGTGTCAGCAATGAGAAAAAAATAGTCCAGAGAAAATTTGGTATTGGAAGTGGGGATGCCACTGTGACTATATCTTAGGAGCCTTTGAGCTTAAGGGCCTTTGGGAATGGCTTGCAGGAAGAGTTTGGAAAGGTTTAGAGATTGTTATGGTTTGTGTCCATGGGTCCCCCCAAAGCCTCATGCAGTCAGGGGCGGCTTCTGGAGTTTGTGATTGACTGCTGTGGGTACGGATGCTGCACCTGCCCTGGGGCAGGTGATTTGCATTACAGTGTAAGCAGGGGAGAGAGGCTGCTAGCTGCCTGAGCTGCTGCCCCTCCCTTTGCTCCTCGCCACCACCAGGAAAGGCTGCCCTCTGCCATGTGCTGCTCTGCCTTGGAGCCCGCTGAGTGTGGACTGAAACCTCCAGTAACTGTGAGCTAAGTAAACCTCTCCTTCCTTCATTTTGGGTGTTGGGTATTTGTCCCAGCAACGAGAGAAGAGTAACTGGGACAGATATATTGCCTGAAAGAACAGAGCTGGAACATTTTAAGGCTGTTCTGTATAAGAGACCCTGGTCAGAGCTCAGAAGACAAGACGGCTGATGGAAATCCTGCCTGTAAAGACCAGGCTGGGGAGGTTTCTGCTGGGAAGAGGGCCTGCAATGGCTGCTGGACTCCAGATGATGTGTGCTATGGCTTGGCAGAAATGTCCAGAGACTTTGCCTGAGACTGAGATTAAAGGAAGCAGACTAATTAATCTGGCAGAAGAAATTTCAAGGCAGTAGAATGTTGAAGCTGTGGCATGGCTCTTGCTGTGGGCTTTTGGCCAGATCTGTGCTTAAAATCAAGAGTATTGCCTCGCAAGTGCAAGGGCCTGAGTTCAATCCCTGGTTCTGAAAAAAAAAAAAAAAAACCAAGAGCAAAGAGCCCAATCAGCAGGATGATTTGAAATGTGGGTTTGGCCCAAAAGGAACTTCCAGGTAAAGCTTTGTAGTTCCCAAAATGAACTACAAAGACAGAGCTGAGGCAATCATGACTAGGGAGGAGGGACAGAAGAATATAAAAAATGACCTGAGAGCATCACAAGAAACATCAGGACTCTACTCTTTGCAGCCTCAAAACTGCAAAAATGTTTGTTTCAGGAGAAAGCCACAGACTATCATGTTCCAGAATGGAGGTGGCACAGAGAATCAATCAGTTTTGTAGTGCCCAGCGATCCAGGCACTCGAGCCCTACAGCCGAGAGAGGGAAGCCAGGACACTGCTCCAGCTGGCAGCAGACGCTGGCGTCATTCACATGGTGCTGGCTTTAGGTGCATGCAGAATATGAGTTGTGGGGTGAAGGTTTCCACCCCAACTTCAGAAGGCCTGGAAGTCCAGGCTGTGTGCCCCGAGGAGGGTAAAGTGTGAAGCTGTGAGGGTGAACCCAAAGGAGCAGCAGAGACCTCAGAAGTTTGGAAAAGGCAGGGAAGTGGATCAGCTGGGAAAACCTGCAAGGAGGAGCAGAGCACCCGGAGAGCAGCCATGGGAGCTGCCACCACCAGAAGTGCCACTGGGGTGGAGCCACACAAGTTCTTTAGAGCTCAGTTTGCCACAGATTGCCTGAGGCGGTGCACATGGAACTACAGGATTTAGTAATTCCCTTGCTGGATTTTGGACTTGCTTTGGATACATTCCTTTGTATTCCTCTGTTTGTAACTTTTTTGCAGGGGTATCGAGGATTGAACTCAGGACCTTGCACTTGCTAGGCAGGCACTGAGCTATGTCCCTGGCCCTGTCTGCAACTTTTGGAATGAAAATGTTTTATTTTGTGATACTGAATATTATAAGTATTAACCTTTTGTTTCGTTTGTACAGGGGATCACAGCTAACAGTTTGCCTTACATTTTGGAGGAGACTTGGGATTTGGATTTTTCAGCAATGCTGAAACTGTTAGGACGGCCTTTTGCATAAAGGGATGTGCATGAGTCTTTGAGGGGACAAGAGCACAATGTTACGGTCCTAATGTGACAGAATGTCGAAGGACGAAACCCTGGTTCTCAGGGTTGGTAAAGCTGTGTTATAATGTTCAAGTTGTGAAATGCTAATGAGCATGTCTTTGTATCTGGAAAAAATTTAAAGAAATGTGTTTGGCTGCCATGCTGACAAGGGGTAGACTGTATAGGCTGATAAACTGTGTCAACTTGAGAAGTTTCTTTTTTTTCTGCAGGCACTTATGCCACTGAGCTAACTCCCCGGCCCTGAACTTGAGAAGTTTAGAAGACTCCGCACAGGCCGGGGTCCTTCCTTTGGAGACATCCCGTGCAAGAGGGTGGCATGGAGAGGGCATGAGCGCTATAGCTGCCCCAGGGTGGGGAGCCTGCTCACAATACAGGGGAGAAGTCGAGGCTTGTTCTCCCTGCTTGTCTGCTCTTGTTGCACTTTCGGTCTTCTGCTGCTTTGAGCTACTGTCCTTCACCCCGCCACCCCGCCTGATGCCAGCTGATTACAGACTGAAACCTCCATACACTGGGAGCTAACTACACCTTCCCTTCCTTAATTTTGGGCATAAGGTATTTTTTTCTTAGCAACCAGACAAAAGTAACTAAGACAGGACCCTTGAACAGGAGCTGTTGGTTCTAAGTCTCTGGATTTCTCTTTCATCGACACCTCAGTGCCATGGCTGGGCTGGGGAAGCCACACACACAGCAGTGCCCCCCCCCCAAGTTTTCCTAGGGCTGCATCTGCTTCCCTTCCACATGCCTACTTCTCCTGGGTGATCACAGGGCTCCTCAGTAGGGACATGGAGAAAACATGGCGTCAGCCTGGCACAGTTGCATATCTGCCTATGGACTGTGGGTTCTCCCGGGTCTTGAGCTCCCAGCCTCTTGTGTGGACCAACTTCCATGGGACAGGCAGGTTCCTAAGTATGGCCTCCTAGCTAGAGACAGGACGGCAGGGACACATGACATACAAGAAGAAAAGTCGGGCTGGTGAGATGGCTCAGTGGTCTAAAGCACCTACTTAGAACAAGCGAAGCTAAAACAAAGCACAGGGACCGCGGTTCAATCCCCAGCGCCACATGCCAGCCAGCCCCGCCCCCTGGTGGGCTGAGCTGGACACACACACACACACAATAAATAAATAAATGTTAAAAAAAAAAAAAAAAAAAAAGAAGAAAAGTCATGGCTCCCCATTCTCTCTGTGCCTATCACCCCAGTTTTTTCTAGGATTGACTCAGGAGCTGACTGCAGCAGGTGCCAACTGGGGTTTCACCTGAAACACTGCCTTTGCCAGGCATGGTGGTGCTTGCCTCTAATGTCAGCACTTGGGAAGCTGAGGCAGGAGGATGGCTGTGTGTTTGAGGCCAGCCTGAGCTACATAAGCAAGTTCAAGACCAGCCTGCACTACATAGTGAGACCCTGTCCTAAAAATCCAAAAACTAGCATTCCCTCTTCCAAAAACAAAAACAAAACAAAGAAACCCACTGCCTTAAAAAAAAGAAAGAAAGAAAGAAACCCACTGCCTTGGATTCTCACATCCAACATGACACTACAGCAACCAGAAACGGAGGCACTGAACAGCAAGGGGCTGACCTGCGTCGGAATGTCCGCCTGTGGAGCCCACAGAGCTGGGGAGTTCCAGGGAGGGCACCTGCTCACCTGCAGTAGCTCCAGGTCAGCAGGCTCCGCCTGGGCAGGGGCCAGCTCGGTCAGCATCTCCGACATGACTCGTACATTCCCACTCACCAGCTCCAGCTCACTGCGCAGCTTCCCCATCTGAAAGGCAGGTGGGGAATGAGAAGCTGAGGAGGGACAGAGCCTGGGTGATGCGGGCTCCCCACCCCACCAGCCCCTCACAGGCAGGTGCCACCCACCGCTGCCATCTCCAACCCTGGCAGATGGCAAGGAGTGGGTGCAGAAAACCACCTAAGGGAGGGAGCTATGGGCGTGGCTGGAAGGGAGTAGCCTGGCCTCTGGGGCTGAGTGTCACTAACGAGGCCCTGGAGGGAGGCTTTAGGCCTCCCCTCTGCCCAGGAGGGCTGGGGCTGCGTCTTCTCCAAAGCATGCTGCCCTAGGGTCTGGGCTCTGTCTGGCTCCCAGTCTACTTTAGGCCACAGGGTCCTGGCCCAGCCTGGCCACCACCTGAGTGCAACACTCAGACGCAGCACTTGTTCTGAGGAGAAAAGAGACCCTGGGCTCTGGGCCTGGACCCACAATTGTGTGGCGCAGCATCCCGGACAGGAGGACTGTGCAGGTCTTTGGTGCATGTGTCGGACGTCACGGGTACTGCATGGTCAAGACGTCTATGACAGGTCCCAAACCCACCGGGCTGAGGAATGCTTTCCTTCACCATCACGGCTCAGCTCATGGGTCCAGAGCCAGAGGGTGGCAGTTTGGGAAATGCTGGCACACGCCCTGTGGCAACTGCCCCATGTAAGATCATCATGAGCGTGTGTGGAGCAGCTATGACTGAGCACCTAGTATGTGCCAAGCACTTAATACAGATTGCTATGTAATAGTTGTCAGGATGGATCGCATTACCCCAGTGTTTACAGGCAAACACACGGGAGTACAGAGACCAGGAGCAAATCCACCCCTGCCCAGACACTTGTGCCCCCATCATGCTTGGCAATGTGGACTCTTAATGATCATTTTGCATGAGCAGTCAAAAAGCTCCTGACCACCAGCTTGACACTGCCAAGCCTGAGGCCTGGCCAGAGAAGAGCCTGGTAATTATGTCTTAAAGCACCTGGCCACCCTCCATGTCTCAGGAGACAGAGGAGACTGCAGCTTGGGGCAACACACACTCTGGTTTCTTAGCAAGAAGCTTCAGCATGAGAAGCCGTCAGTCTTGGGCAAACCGGGTGAAATCCTAACCAGTGAGGGAATGCTTTGGATTATCAGGTAGTTTTACACTACCTTTTTTTTTTTTTTTTTTGTGGTGCTGGGAAGGAACCCAGGCCTCACCCATGCCAGACAAGTGCTCTGCCCCTGAGTTACACTCCTGGCCCTTTTCTGCCAATTTGCCAGGGGTGGCCTTGAATTTGTGATCCTGTGCCTCAGCCTCCAGCCCCCATACTGGGATCACAGGTGTGTACCACTTGCCCAGCTGGTCTTATGATTTTTCAACACCTTTAATTGTTTTTTCCAGTTAACAAAACTTCCCTAGTAATATTTCTAACTCTGGGAGGTACCTTTGTAACTGGCTACTATAGGAAAACAGACATTTCTCTTCCATTGGAGGTAAGAAGATCCAGGTGACATACACAGAGCCTGGCAGGGACTCCGGCCAGCCTGCCCTCTCCTCACCAGCTAGGTCTTCACCCCAGCACACTCAGAAGCTACCTTTGGACTCCCGGATGGTGGCCTGTACCTGCAAAACCCACTGCAGAGCCAGGCCTCACCTGTGGTACCCGGACCCTACAAATGAGGGCCTCCACTGGTCAGGCAGCCTCAGCAGCTCAGGGCAAAGAGGGCACAGGAAACTGAGGTGCACAGGTAGCCAGAGCTCGCAGGCCCTCAGCTCCACGGCTTTTCCCTGCAGCTTTGTGGGAGGCACGATGGTGCGATGCAAAGCCAGTTGCTTATTTTTGTTCAGGTGTTCTAAACCATTTCGGCCAGAGGCTGGACTCGGATTGGACCTCTGTGGGGAGCTGCGATGGCACCAGGGACTGTGGAGAAGCTGTGCAGGATGCTGGGCTCAGGATGCATCTGCCAGGAGTTACTTCCACCGGACCCTGCCGTCTCTATAGGCTGCAGACCCCCTCTCTGGACCACACCTTTCTTTTTCTTTTTTCTTTCTTTCTTTTTTCTTTTTTTTTGCTCCGAATGCCTTCAGGGCAGGTTTGGCTGGCGAGTTGTCGGGATCGAACCACAGAAACCTGAGCCTGACTGCTTTGTTGAAGCAGCCATTTAGAGAATTGAGCTGGGGCCGGGGAGATGGCTCAGTAGGATAACCGCTTGACTGGCAAACTTAAGGATCTGAGTTCAATCCCTGGTTCCACCAAAAAAAAAAAAAAAAAAAAAAAAAAAGAACTGAGCTAAGGGCCAGGCCCCCCAAGACCACACCTAACAGGAGGAAAACATACCCTGGTGGCCCTGTGGGCTTGTCTTTTTACCTGCTCAGGAGTTGGTGTGATGGGCGCATCATTGGGCAGCATGGCAGGGGCAGGCACAGGAGCAGGGCACTGGCTCAGGTCTCCTTGCCGTCTGGCTTCAGAATCCTGAAAGTTCTGTCCTGCTGGGGCCTCTGGAGTGAACACAGTCTAGGGACAGGAGCCAGGTCAGAGGGGCCCATATGCCAGTCCTCTGGGACCCCCCCATCCTGCCTGTCCCCATACTGAGACCACTCACCCTCTGGGGTGTGTGGATGGGTGACAGCATGTCCAGGTCTGTCATGGGGAACTCTAGGCCCTTCCTCCGTAGGTCCTCGTAGACGGCCACCACGCCCGTCAGGTCAGGCGAGCTGCGGAATGCGTCAGCCCAGGACTAAGAAGGGACAAGGGACACAGCCGGTAACCACTGCTCACTTCTTCCTACACACCTGCCCCCAGGACCCAGACGGATGTCCTCCCCTGGGCAGCCAGGGCTCTAGCGAGCCCTCCGCTGCACCAGGCTCACGGCGATGATCACCCCACGGCCCGTCCAGGCAGAGACCATGAGGACGCCCAGCAAGGATCTGCAGGTGGATGTGCGGTTCCCACTGTTCTCTCGCCCTGCCCAGGACGCACCTGGATGAGGCTCAGCACCTTGTCATGCACGACAGTGGGTGGGTTGTTCCTAGGCAGGATGGTACGCACTAGCACACCCTCTACGAAGTCCTGGCTGGCCACCAGCACATGGAAGCGGTGTCCACAGTTCTTGACACAGGTTTCCAGGACCTGGGGGTGCCAACACCCCAGCCCTGTCAGGGCTCCTTCCATGTCCCCGCTGAGGGACAGGGTAATTTGCCCTGAGACTGGAAAAAGCGCCCTTGCTGTCCAGCCCACAGGACCCACTGGACGCCACTGCCACTGCCACTGCAAGGAGGCTGGGGCAGGTGCCCACCGCTAGCCTCATCCACTCCCAAGTGCCAGGGGTTAGGCAGTGTCCACTTGCCTGTGCTGGGCCTGGGTCTCTAAGCTTTTGCCACCCTACATGCAGCCAGGGACTCTGGCCCCCACCCTATGTCTGCCCCCATGCTGGGGCAGGAGACAGGGAGACACAGACAGGCAGACAGACAGACAGACAGACAGACAGCTGGCACTCACCGTCAGGGCCAGCATCACCTCGTGGAAGTTCTTGTTCCCTGCCATTCTCTTCTTCAAGGCCCGGAAGGCATCCTTGGGGCTGGCAAATGCAGGGAAGGAAGGGTAGACAGAGTGCAGGGAACCTGCTCTGCAGCACCACAGGCCAAGGGCCTAGCTCAGGAGCTCCGGAAGGGGCACAGGCTCGTGTCACCCTCTGGCCCACACTTGGCTCATTCAGAACCCTGCTGCCCTGCCAGGCACAAGTGAGGGGTCCCTGGCCTCCTCTGACCTGTACTCAGGGAGCAGGAGCCAGGGTCGTGCTACGGCCCCAGCACGGCTTCTGCAAGTTGAGGCAGTGAGCGCAGGCAGCAGGCATGGAGTTCTGGACCCATCCTGCCGTTGCTCTGCTGGTTTTCAGCTGTATCTCCCTCAAGCCTCACACTGTATGGGTACCATATTGGTAGCTGGAGGCTGGTGGGATGTGTGGGTGGCACACAGGACGGTGGGCCAGGGGTTCTGCTGGATTCCTCCCCATGAAGCTTGCCAGGTGCTGTCTCTGGTGTGTCCTCCCATGTGACACTGGCCTGGGCCTCCGGCCCCCTGCTCCTGTCCTTGTTGGGGTTCCTGAGTGGACTGTGGTCCATACCACCTGTCTCTGCTTGTCTGGGTAGCTGGCTGCTCTGAAGGAACGAGACCCAAAGCTCCAGTGCCCCATGCTTCGGCAGGCCCCGTGACACCAAGGAGGAAAAATCATAGCCCCACCTGTCTCGCTGTCTCCTTTACCTCCCTGCCCTGCCTGCTCCATCTGCAGAGGGCATGTGTTCCTGCCACAACTGGCCTTGGCTGGGAGCTGCTGGGCAGAGACTGCACGCTGCCATGACCAGCTTCCTGCACCCTGGGTGAGGCTGGCCTGGACCACGGCCTGCCTGTCTCTAGGGGCATGTTCCTGCCTCCGGGCTCAGGGATCCCAGCCCCACTCCCCTCAGCAGCCCTCACCCCTCCTCCGTCTCGTTGATGATGTCGCAGATCTCCATGTTGAGGGCCCAGTCCTCGCTCTGCAGGGAGCCGTCGGTAGCTTTCTCTAGAAGAGGTCATGAGTCAGCAAGGACAGGGACAGGCTCAAACGGATGGTGGCGGGCGGAAAGATTCAGAGGGTGGAGGATGATGGCTTCCTGGGCACCAGACATGGGCTACTGTACATGGGAGCTTCCACCTGTCACCTGATTCGTTTTTTGGGGGTGTGTGTGTTCTGGGAATCAAACTCAGGACCTCATCCTTGCCAGTCTGGTGCTGTGCTGCTGAGCCACAGCCCTGGTCCTGCACCTGATTCTTGCAGCAGCCACCAGGGGCTGAGGCTCTAGGGCCTGACTGAGCATTGCTCAGAGCCCTTGTATCATTCCGTGTTCAGCCTGTCCTACCCCGAACTCACTTCCTGGGGCCTCTACTGAAACTAGGCCCTGTGGATGTGCACGATACCCTCAGTCAGAGTGCAACACTCCCAAATGGCTCAGGGCCACATCAGACTGGCCTGCACAGAACAGGTGCAGGAAGCACTGGGGCATCTAGGAGTCAGATGGCTTCAGCACGAGGACACTCACAGGTGATGCAGACCCATCTACCCTGGTGTGTCCAGCCTGGGATGGGCCAGGCCTCGCTGGCCACCTCTGCCATCTCAGCTCAAGGGGTTCCTGGGTGCTGCAGTGAGGAGCACAAGGACCTCTGCCAACACTGGGAGCATGCGCACCTCCTGGCTTGCACATCGTCCTGTCCCTGTTTTCCACAGCAGGCCGTGCCCCACAGTGCCCAGCTGCAGGACTGTGACAGGCACGAGGCCCCCCCCAGCCTTCCACTCCTGGCCTGCAGCTCCAGAGGCGAGGTGCTCACTTGTCCTGCAAGGCAGGCTCTTGTCCCCACAGTGAGACATCCCTTGGGTGCCAGCCCGGATCTGTCCAGGACTGCGAAGCCAGCTGAGGCAGGGCGTTTGGAACAGGAAAGGCAGCACCGAAGCTCCTCCGTGCCACCCAGGACCCTTCACACAGCCACAGGCGGAGCTCGAGGCAGGCACTGGGCCTCCACCACCAGGCCAGTGGAGCCTTCCTGAGGGGCCCAGGCTCAATGCCTCCGTTCCCCCAGGTCTACCACCTCTCCCAGACCTCCCACCTGCCCCTGCCCACTACTCTCCATGCTTCCTAGGGCAACATCAGAGTTCAGCTGCCGTGTCCCACCGTGTCCATGACAGCCATTCTAGAGCACCGTAACCTCCAAAGTTGGGCACTACACAATCTCCTGTGCCATCAGCGACAGAGAATGTGGCCTCAGCCCTCCCCCAGTGTCCACTGTTGGACTTCAGGTAAGTGAAGAGGAAAGTGTATCATGGCAGGCCAGCGCCCGGAAAGGCACAAGAGCCAGGGCCTTGCTCCTTCAGTGCTGCTGGCCCAGTGCCAATAGCCAGGCCCCGCTGGCCACCTCTGCCATCTCAGCTTGGGCCTCTTGGGACCCCACAGCAGCCTGAGAAGGACCAGTACCTCTGCTCCAGGGGTGCAGACAGGACTGTGGTGGATTTCCTCGTCCCAGGGTCGGGGAGAAGCCATGCAGGAGGGGAGGGGAGAGGACAGGCCAAGAGTTAGGCTGGAGAGTGGCGTGTGCCGGTGGCAGGCTAGGGTGAAGGCCAAAGTGGGATGGATGAGCCCACCCAACAGTTCTAGCAGAGGCTGCAGGAGGCTGAGTGAACTACTGTGGCTTCCCCATCCCCGGAGACCCGAGCAACTGTCACGGCCGTGCTGAGAAGGGGAGTGGATACTCTGAGCCTCAGGTGCCGAAGGCCAGGCTGCAGATCTGCTTGTTGCTAGTACTGCTGCTGGCCCAACACAGCCTCTCTGTCCCAGTGGGCGCAGGGGCACCAGCTCAGCAGAGCGAGGAGTCCGAGGCCACCCCAGGGCAGTGGCCTTCATGCACACTCACTACCTGTCCTCCCTTGGGGTCTGTCTCTGGGTCTGCATGTGCAGCATCAGATGGGCAGAGACAGTGGGGTGTGGCCGACAATGTGTGGAGGCCACAGAGTGGGGCATCTGCCCAGCCTGACAGCCTGGGCTGGGACTAGGAAATCGAGGTGCTGGTGCTGTCCTGGTCACTGTCCTCTGTGCAGCTTGGGCACACTGTGGACTTTGGCCCGGATGGAGCCAGCGCTTCCCTGGCTGTGACCCCTCCAGGGTCTAACTGCTCCTGAACCCAGCAGGCTGAGGTGCTTCCCACCCTCAAGGACCCCTCCCCTTCACCATCTCAGAGAGAAGAGAAACCAAGGCATAGTTCATGCGCTGCAGAGAAGTGATGGGGACCGAGAGGGGTAGGTTTGCCTCCACAGTAGGAAGCACCACATGGTGTTCTCAGAGGGCACAACATGTACCCAGCCCCACAGGGTACTGCTGAGCCCTGCGAAGCTGCAGCCAAGAAGGTGCTGAGTCCGTGGGAGGTGGTGGTGCAGCTGACAGGAGGAAGGGAGTCGGCAGAGGCAGCTCTCAGCAGACAGCTGTGTGACAGCGATGGCCGATGGCCGGGCCAGTGCCTCAAGCTCCACCAGCCTCGCTAGCCCCACCCCGCCTGTGCAGAGGGAGCCGAGAAGCCACACAGGCCGTGCCCAACCTGCAGGACCTGTTTGCTGACTGACTACATGAAGGCTGTAGTCACATCTGGCAACAGAACCTGCCCTGCAGCCTTTCTATTTTTTATTTTTTTTTTGGTGGAACCGGGGATTGAACTCAGGCCCTTGCACTTGCCAGGCAAGCACTTATTCTACTGAGCTATCTCCCCGGCCCCTATTTTTTATTTTTTGAGCAGAGTATGTTTACTGAGGGAAAGAAAGCTTCAGTCTGAAAGACAGACGGGGTGGGGTGGGGGGCAAGCAGGTAGTCACCCTCCGCAGCCTTTTTAAATGCAGTGTTTTAGAGCTGGGTGTGGTGGTGCGCACCTGTAATCCCAGCACCTGGGAGGCTGGAGCAGGAGGGTCACTGTGAGTTTGAGACCAGCTTGAGCTAGGAACGGCACAGACAGACCCTGTCTCAAAAAGACAATAATAAATAAATAATAAATGAAGGCAGTGCTTCCCCTTGGCACTGGCTGCTCTACGGGAACCCTCATTCTCCTTCCATGTGACCATTCCTGGAATCTTTTTTTTTTTCTTTTTCTTTTTAATTTATTTATTTATTTATGTGTGTGTGTGTGTGTGTGTGTGTGTGGCCAGCTCAGCCCACCAGGGGGCGGGCTGGCTGGCATGTGGTGCTGGGGGATTGAACCGTGGTCTCTGTGCTTTGCTAAGCTTGTTCTAAGTAGATGCTTTAGACCACTGAGCCATCTCACCAGCCCCTGCTTTTTTTTTTTTTAAATTTTTTTTTTTTTAGTATTTTAAAAATTTATTTCTTTATTTGTGTGTGTGTGTGTGTGTGTGTGTGTGTGTGTGGCCAGCTCAGCCCACCAGGGAGTGGGGCCGGCTGGCATGTGGTGCTGGGGGATTGAACCGTGGTCCCTGTGCTTTTTTGCTAAGCTTGTTCTAAGTAGGTGCTTTAGACCACTGAGCCATCTCACCAGCCCCTATTGCTTGTTTTTCAAAGACAGAGTCTTGCTATGTAGTTCAGGCTGGCTTTGAACTCACAATGTAGCCCAGGATGGCTTCAAACTTGTGGCAATCCTCCGGCCTCAGCTTCCCAAGTGCTGGGATTACAGGTATGCACCACCATCCCTGGCTTGCTGGTTTCATCAAAAGTACACCGCCACAGAATCATCTAGAATGTTACCATAGTAGGGCATGGTGGCCTAGCCAAGTTGACACATAAAGTTAACCAGCATAGTGGTTCATTCTCCTGTACCTATCCCAAGGAACTGAGTGTACCAGCCAACACCTGTCTGTCCCTAAATTCTGTGCCAGCCCCTGCAGTCTGGCTGGCCTTTCCCACCTCTTCCCACTTCCTCTCCACATCCTTGTACAGCAGCCCACAGCACTCGCAGGGCTCCTTCTGTTCGCTGCCACAATCCCGTGTCCCAAGTCCCTTGTCCAGGTTGGTGCTGGCACCTGAGGCTAGGTCCCTGGCAGGCGTGAAGTGCTGGCCCTGCTCAGCTGCAGACACCAAGAACGCCTGGACTGCACTCCCTGGGGTCGGATGCAGGTTCCGGCAACCTGGGAGGCATGTAGACAGCTGTGTTCACTCTAATGCAGGCCAGAAAAGACCACAAAATAGCTCATCCAGGCCACGATTTCAGGGCTGTAGTTACATGAGAGAAGGTCAAATTAATACAGGTGAGCCAGTTAAAGGACAACAGCCACCAAGGTGGCCCTCAGTGCACACAAGTCTGAGCTTGGTGCCAAGCGACTGGCGCCTGAGCAGTGGGGGTTCAGGTTCAGAACTCCTGGACTAAATAGAGAACCAATCTGCCGTGCATCTCCTGTTTCTCCCCAGATGAGGACCCCAAGCTAACTAGAAGACAGTGAGAGTTTATATTTTTCCTCTATACCAGAAGAGTGGAAATCCTGAACTTCACCCTTATTTCTCTAAGCTCAGGGTGGGAAAAAAACTTATTTGCCATTCTACTCAGAGTCAGGCCATGGCTTTGGGTCCAGGTGTGCACCAGCTCCTGCCCACACTTGGAACCTGAGCTGTCTGTGAACGTGAGAGCCAGCCTGCCTCGGCCTCGGCCACAGAGACCAACACAAACTCAGAGCCTGGGCCGGCACCACAGCCCTGCCCAGGAATGCTGACCACAGCAGGGAAAATCCTGAGCCACCTCCTGCGTGGCAGGCTCAGCCAGGTGCTCTGAAGGGCCAGACACAACCCACGTGACAGGTCTACCACTGGACTCACTGTGCAGGCAGCCAGCTGGACACAGGCCCAGCACCCTGCTCCAGGCCACAGGGCCGCTGAGGCCACTTGTTTTCTGAAGCCTGCCTGGGCCCTGCCACCTGCGAAGCTGGTGCGAAGCCCTGTGAGAGGCAGGCCACGGTTCTCAGGCCAGAGACCTGGGCTCGACCTGGCACTGCGCCACGGACTGACGGAGTCCACTCCGAGGAACACAGCCTTCCCCACTTCTGCCTTCAGCCACTGGTGTGACCCAAAGATCAGCCACCTGTGAACCCTCAAGACAGATGCAGTCTGTTTCTGTGTGGCTTGAGAGCTACAGAAGGAAGTGGCAGGAGCAAAAGCCGAAGGGCAACATGTCTGTGGCGTGTGAAAAGGACAGGCCCTGCAAAGGGCGCCCGCGCAGTCCTCCTGGGGAAGGCTGTGCTTACGCAACAGCAGCCGCGCTAGGTGGGTGCAAGAGACCTCCGCATGCTGACTCGAGGCCCTTGCGGGAGCGGCTGGGGCCTGGTCTGGTTGGCTCTGGCAGCCATGCAGCTCACTACCCCACAAAGCAGCCTGCGCTCTGAGCAGCTCAGAGCGGGCCACCTACACCAGCTCTTGCATCCCTGAAGTCTCCCTGCCCCTTGGCCTGGCAATCAGTTCTCCTGCCTCTCCACAGCCTCTCAGCTTCTGTCTTCCTGCCAGCACCAGCCCTGCCCATACTCCTGCTTGGCAGGGAGCAAGTGAGGGATCCTGCATCATGGGCAGTGCGCAGGGCACAGCCAGGACAGAATGAGGCCTGCCCAACTCTCCAGGTCCTCAGCCTGCCACCTGCAGGACTGGCTGTCCACCAGGTTTCAGGGGCCCTTCGTTGTCACACTTCCTTCCTGTGGCTCCCTGGTGAGGCCTGTGGGGGCCCTAAGACAGCTCTCTCCACCTTCTCCTGCCCAAACTCTGAGCTTCTCTTCCCACCCACCGCCCCAGGGGTGGGCTGGCGACCTGCAGCGCCCACCTGCAGTCTCTGGGTCTGCAGCTAGACATCCCAGAAAGCTGGTGGCTGGACTCCAGACACGGGGGATGGCTCCCTAACATCTGACGTCTGTCTGTGAGCACAGCCAGTGAGATGTGGATGCAGGGTCCTCGGCAGGGCTTGAAGTCCCCAGAGATGGCTGTGGTCTCAGCCAGGCCTAGGACGGCCCTGGAACCCTCCTGGCCTGAGCTGCTTCCTTGGGAGTAACCTGGACTTGAGGGTGGTGCAAATCCAGGGAGCATACCCTGACCTGTACCCCCTGGGAGACGGGAGGACAGTGCAGACCGAGGCACTGTGTGAGGGCTGAGAGATGACCAGGTCTGGCCTCCAACCCGGGAGTAGCTATGAGCCCTTAGGGTGGAGCTGCCCTCAGACCACTTCTACTGAAACAGAAAGCATGGGAACCCTCATGGGGTCACCTTAAAGACTCATGCCCAGGAGTCTAGCTTGCCCCTTCCTCTCCCCTGCTGGGTCCAGTACCACGCTAGGCGCTAGGCGCTGGGCCGTGAGGTGGGACAGTTCTGCTCTCAAGAGGTACAGTCCAGCTCCCAGCACTTAGGGAGGCTGAGGCAGGAAGATCCCAAGAGTAAACCCAGCCTGGGTAACCAAGCAAGACACTATTTCAGAATAAAGACTTTAAAAAGTGCTGGGGGGAGGGGTAGGTGGCGGGGAGATGGCTCAGTGGAATAAGTGCTTGCCTGGCAAGCGCAAGGGCCTGAGTTCAATCCCTGGTTCCGCAGGGGGGAAAAAGTGCTGGGGATATAGTTTAAAGACCATTGGTTCAATCTGTAGTACTGAGAAAAATAAAAAAGAGCGCAGGCCAGGTGAGGATGGAGAGGAGTACAAGTATGAACAGGACAGTATTGCTGAGACCACCGGAGCGATGAGGTTTCCAGTCACTCTTTGGGGACAAGCGTGCTTCACGCTAAGAGCTGCCCGCAGTAGGAGAGCCCAGAGGGCAGGAGCATGGGACAGGATCCTGGGCTCAGGATGGCCTCTGGGAGGAGGCAATGATGCCCACGCTCTGACATCACAAGCAGCTCTGTGGGACACACAGGAAGGAGTGGGCACTCCAGCAGTGTGACCCAGCTGGATGTGTGTGCGAGGCTGGATGAAGCCCTGTGGCTCAACCGACTCCATGGGTGAGTGTCCCAGAACCCACTGTCCTCTGAGGCTCTGCTCCCAACACAGACTGCAGGAGAGACAGAGAGGAGCCTCGGTCACCAGCAATCACACAGCGGGGTGGTGTGCACAGGAGACCCTGTTTCGGGGAGCTAAGGCAGTGGGCTGCCTCAGGCCAGGAGTTCCAGACCAGCCTGGCAGCACAGAGAGGCTGAGACTGCATTTCAGAAGGATATATATATATATATATATATATTTTTTTTTTTTTTTTTCTCCAAATGCCCTCAGGGCAGGTTTGGCTGGCTTGAGGTGTGGGGATTGAACCACAGCAACCTGAGCTGGACTGCTTTGTTGAAGCAGCCAAAATGGCAGAAGGATTTTTTTTTTTTTTTTTTTTTTTTCTCAAGACTTCATTTCAAAACACAGAACAGTCACAGACAAAGAGCAGTCCTTCTGGCTCTACATGCAAAAAACTCAAGACAGAAGCGTGGTAGTGAGGCCAATGGCTCCTCACACTGCCCTACTTTAGAGCAGCTTCAGGTTTGGCTCAACTCTCAGCGGCTCTGGGTGGCTGATGTCTGCCTCTCAGATGCCCCTGGGTCCTGGGTGAGGGGGACCGCCACCTCCCTCCAGATGGATGCGCCATAGCCTTGGGGACTTGTTAGAAATTCTAGGGATCCACTGGGCTGGGGCACTGCCATGGAACCTTAATGAGCCCTTCGGAGGATTCTGCTGTGCAGCTCAGGGTGGTGGGTCCCCAGGGCGAGCTCCTCCAGGCAGCAATCGTTGGTCCATCCCCTGGGGTATCAAATGCGGAGTATTCTCTGGGAAGTCTTCCTACCATGAAACTTAATCCACCAGGGTAAGAGGAAACGCTTTTTTTGTACTGGGAATGGAACTCATGATCTCCTGATTGCCAGGCAGGCGCTGTGCCCCTGAGTTATATCCCCGGCTTGAAACACAGTTCTTTGCCAGGTAAGCTGGTCCAGAAAGCCTGGGAAAGAGTCGGCTGACTTTGAAGGCTGATCCATTTACTTATTTTGAAGCAGGAAGACTCAGTGAGGTCACCTTTTCTCCAGCCCTGCAAGGTGGCTCCACGTGTGCATGGGGGGTCGGGCCGCACCTGCGTGTCCCCAGGGTCCTCTGGTGACTCCTGGGGTGGGCATGCATGGGGATCTGGGCCACGCTTATGTGTCCTCCTGGCCCCCTGCACGGTGCCTCCTGAGATGGGCGTGTATGGGGGTTTGGCCTGCGTCTGCGTGTCTCCCAGCTGCCCCGCCTGCCCGGCTGAAGGCTGAAGACGCGCTCACAACAGCCACGGACACCCGGGGCAAGCGCGACACAGCAGAACATCACAGGCACACGGGGGACCCCGCTTCCCGGTGGGGTGGAGTTCCACAGCGCCTCCCAGTCTCTCCACGCGGGCAGCATGCCGGGCTCTCAGTACCAGCATATGCGACCTTCTGCCGCGCTCTCAGGGAGCCCAGCGCTCGAGACCCGAGGGCTGAACCGCAGTCCCTTTAGCCCCCAAAACTTTCTCCTTCCACCAGGGACCGTCGCTGAGCGAGCATTGGCGGACAGCCGCAACCGGGCCCGCCTCACCCCCACCGATTGGCTCCCGCCAGCGTCCATCCTCCGCAGAGGCCTGCTACGGGAGCGCGCTCACGTCCATCACAGGTGGGCGGGCCGGGCGCGACTCGCCTCCCTCGGCGCCCGCGCCGGCTCGGGAGGGGCCCGGAGGCGCCAGGGGCCGAGACTGCGCGCGGCTCCAGAGACTCACCGATGCGCTGTCCCACCGGAGAGCTGAACGGGTTTCCCAGGAGGAAGTCCATGGCCGCGGCCGCCGCCGCCACCAGCGAGGCAGTCAGCTGACAGCAACGGCCGGCACCCAGCCCGTCACGTGACGCGCCGGCAGCCGGAGGCGGGGCCGAGCGCTCCAGGCAGGGCTCCGCCCAGAAGTGGCGCGCGGGGCGGGCCCGCCACGCAGGTCCTGAGCGCGCCCCTCCCGAGTGGTGGCCTAGGGATGTGCCTCGTGGCCCAGGGATGTGCCCTAGGGATGTGA